AGATAATGTAGGTGGAAAGATTTTTGTATTTAAATGCATATAAAGAGTATAAATTTTGTATATATCTGCATATATACTATTTATATTTATATTTATAATTAGATTTATACAAATATTCAATTACTATTATTTAAAATAGACACGTTTGTCTTTCTATTCTTTTCTATTCAGTTCTATGTATGTATATGGATTATGTTTTCTGTTTTTTTGTTTTCTTTTTAAACGTAGGTGTAAAATATCAGATATATATATCAGATTAATGTTAACTGAAATAAATAACATAAAATAAATCATATAAATACATATATACTTATTATGTGTATATAAAGAATAATATAGAAACTATAAAATCGTAATATAAAAAAATCGTAATATAATATTATTTTGTTTTTTTTTTCTTGTTTGCTTGTATTTTATCATTTATTAGTGACAAAATGAAAATTTTACCATTGTAATATTAAATTCAGAAGATTTTTAATGAAATAATTCTAATAAAATTGCAAAATTCAAGAATTACAAGGTTATTGTAACTTAAGCTGATTATTTTTAATACTTTTTAAATGGAAATTGTATTAAAAAATTTTTGCTCTCTCTCTCTCTCTCTCTCTTTCTTGCTCTATTTCATCTTTAACGAAATGTAAATATTTCTGTTTTATGAGATTAGAATTCTTTAAATATTAATTCTTGCTTTTGTATTTCATTTCAGCTAAATATTCTGTTTTAACTGAAAAATAATTGATTAATTATAAATATAATAATGGTATAGTATAACAGTATAGTAGCTATTTTCAAAATTTTAAATATTTGTTTTAAATTAATATTGCCGGTTAGATGAAAACATCTTCACACGACTGCGAAATAAAGGGATGACATAGCCATATAGGAATGAGTCTAGTCAGAAAAATTTTTTAAAAAATTCTTCTTAAATTGGAATCGAATCAGAGACGTACCGCTTTCTAAACGGACGCTACAATGTTATTATTGGTTATTTTATTCTCAGTACAAACCTTTAGAAAAAATCAAACAATAATATTTCAAAAATATAAAAAACTCAAAAAATTCTGTTGTATAGCTAGCTATTTAATCTAGTTCTATGAATTCTGTTATGTAAAATTATAAATCTTGAAACTTTAAAAAATCATTGCATACTTATAGGGATTCTTCTAATAACAAAATAAATACAATCATAAAATTGTATGAAATTTGTAATAAAATTGGTAGAAATCTTTGTACATTTTAATTAATAAAAAAAAATCAAAGATGAAAAACATTTGCATTTCGTAGAATCAGTTTTTTTGATTTTCAAATCTTTATATTGGATAATAAAAATTATGTTACAAAAACTATTATAGTCTTGGCTTAAAATTAAGTATTTCACGGCTTGATATCCTCAAATGCATGTTTGTAAAAATATGTACAAAATGCTGAAATTAATTACAATAATAATATTGCAAGCACTCTTTTAATTGACGAAAAACAAAAATTTCTTTCTTTCTGACATTTTCAATTGAGAAGAAAACTTTCTCAAAAATAAAAATGTACAAAAAATTGACAAGCAACAAAAAAAAAAAAATTATTTACATCTAACGTAAATTATATTTTTAGAGCTTTACGAAAAGTTTATTTTTTCCTCCTTCACATATTATATGTACGCGGTATATGTTCCTACATTTTTATCTATACTAAAACACATACAAAGCCAAAATAAAAAATACAAACACACTTAAAAATAAAAATAACGCAAATATTATTAAGAACGCAAATATGACGACAAAACATTTTCATAAATAAGTTACTGCTACTGCTACTGCTGCTGCTGCTGCACCCACGCAATAATCATGTGTAGGATTTTCGTATACATTAGAAGTATAACATATATATAATATGTATTAAAATTCAATACATCTATTATACTATGATATATTATGGTATATGTATAACAATATTATTAAAAAGCAATTTTCATGAGGACAACTTGAAAATATTTTCTACATTTAACAATGAAGTGTAATAAATTTTGTATGAAAAATATTCAATGTATAAAGTGATTAGAAACACATTCTATTAAACTAAAATATATAAAATATAAAACATAAATATATTATAATAAAAATTTCGAAATTATAATAAATATTTTTTTCTATTCGTAATTGAAAATGTAAATTCTTAATTTTTTTTTAAGAATGTTCCTGTCTCTAATCATAATTGATATACCAAATCTCTAAATTAAACCTTTAAATGCCTACATAAAATTTGAAAAAATATTTTTTGTTCTTGAAACCTACGACTTTCTGTATATGTATATCTACAATAATAATATAATATATACAAATATATATGTACGTACACATACAATACGATAATATATTGAACTGCATCCTAAAAAAAAGCTTTTCAAAACAAAAAAAAAAATTAAAAACATTTCTTCTTTTTTATAAAAAGTTTAATGGAGACTAAAAATAAATTCAGAGTTCTATACACTCTATACACAAATACATATAAATAAGACCGCTCAAACCCATATATACATAATATATACCTATACCTGAAAACCTGATAGAAAAATAAGACAAAAGTTAATAAAAGATAAACATAATAAAATGGTGTGTATATAGTGTTTTGTTTTGCATAAATTATAGAGACTTCTAACATAATAATGAACAAAAAATAAAAAAACACAAAAATTATTTCAGCCACGCATAATCCAAACAAATAAAATTCTCTCGCCATAAAATTATACCTCCATCACACACAAAAAAATATATGAACCTGAACACCAAACATGTACAATTTTTCAATCCATTGCATATACAAAAAGAAAACGAAATGAGAAATGATAGAATACATAATATAAGAAAAAGCGGAGGATGACACAACATGGACGACGACGCAAGCACAAAAAAAAAAAAGCAGAATAAGGCGAACTTTTTATTCCTTTAAAAAGTTATTATTTTATACATACACAATACCTATACACATATCTATTATGTGTATACATGAAATTCAGAGCCGATATACACAAAATAAAATATTTGTACAATTTCCTAATAACTGTATTTAAATACGGCCCTGTAACATAACGTATGATTTTGTAAATATTTTATTTTTTTTGTAAAAATTTTTAATGAATGCAGTTGGTTTGCACTATTTGCACTAGAGTGCAAATTACTATTTACTACTAGAGTGTAAATTCCATATAAACCAAAAAAATTTTATAATAGCATAAATTTCGGGCGCCAGAGCCGTATTTCAAAACCAAAATGCAGGAAACATAGCTCTTTCTTTACCATAAGAATATTAAACACACGGAATCTTCTTTTATACTGACTTAGCTTCTAAATAACTATGCAAAAATGGTTTTAACATAATTTAAATGCTTTTGAAAATCACACATAATTAAAAAATTTTGAAGTAAAATGTACTAAATAGTACATTTTTCATTTTCTTGCTTTGAAATTGAGGTTATGAAAACAATGCGTTTACTTCTCTCATTATATTTATATTTATTATACATATAAAAGAAAACAAAAAGGACAAAAAGAAATAAGTAAAATAAAACAAAACAAAAAAAAAAATTTCCGCAGGAAAACTAAAAAGTCCAAGACGTAAGAGGGTGTTTCATTCAAAACGTGTGGGCGATATTCTATTAAAGTATTTTAACATTTTCATGTGTTTAATACAAAACACGTTTAAAGTTAAAATAAAATATATATATACATATACATATATATATACATATGTATATATATATAGATTTTTATACTTATGACAGTATTTTCAATTGATTTTCATTATGCTCACATATACATCGAAAAATAATCTAATATATAATATTGTATATATTTATATAGGTACATGTATATACGAGATATATATATATATGTATATTCAAGTACCTATAAAAATATAACTAAATTTCTTTTTTAATATGACCAGCAATTGTGAATGTATTTTATTATTTGACTTCATATATACATACGTATATTTCTGTTATATTTATATATATGTATATAAATATCCTTAACAAGAAATATGTACTCTTTTACAACACCAAACAAAACATATAGATTTCATGAAAAACAAAAAAAAACGCATGAAGAAAAATAATAATGTAATTTTTACTTGACAGAATATATGAATGAAATTGAAAATAACTGTTCATACATAATTATTTTCATATATATAAATATATAAAAAATTTATATATATATATATAAACATATATAGTTATAAAAAAATATAGAGATAAATTGAGAAATGGAAAAATTTTTTTGAATGAAGAAAATCTATAAAAGGACCAGAAAACTTTATTCAACGCTTTTTCTTAACGCGACCGTCGATATATTTAGTCGATTTGAAAGGAAAATTACAAAAAAAAAAAATATATATATATATATATATATAAAAGGAAATTTTTAAAATAAAACAATTTGAATAAATTTAAAATTAAGAAAAAATATATATATATATTCAAACACATATACGGACACACATATATATGAATATATATATATATGCTGACGTTCTAATAAACAGAAAACTATATATACATTTGTATATAACAATATAAATAAAATATTAAACTATAATTGATTAATATATGAAAAAAAAATAATAAAAAAAAAATTTAGTGTAATTTTATTTAAAAATATTAAAATAATTTTTTTTTTTAATTGAAAAATAATAAAATTTAAATTTAATAAATTTTTATTAAAACTTAGCACATTTTGTAATATTTTAAGTGAAATATTTTATTTTAATATTAAAATAAATGAAATATTGAACAGAAATTCATAAAAAAACAAAATTAAAAATAATTTTATTCAAATAAAAAATTCATGAATTTTGGCCTAATTTTAGTTTCTTGATTTGAGCACTTTCTAAAAAATAAAAAATTGTAACAAAAGTGCATGTTATACAAAAAAGGTTTTCTAATATTAATTTTAAAAATTTATCTTTATGAAATAAGTGTAAAAATTTCTACACTGTTATAAAACAAAAAAAAAAAAAATATTTTTATTAAATTAATTAATTAATAAAAAAAATATATAAAATAAAATAAAAAAATTATTGAAATTTTTTTCAAATTTATTAAAATTTAATTTTTTTAATTTCAATCATAATTATCTTCATAATTATACAACCTATTCAAATATCTTAATATGGATTATTAAAAAAAAAATAATTTTGTTTAATATATATATATTTATACATATATATAGACAATTTTATTTTATAAATGAAAACAAAATATCAAAAATAAAGTAAGTATATTATTTAAAATTAATTATAAAATAATAATACAATAATAAAATAGAATATTTTATATACTTATACATATTATATATACTTGTACATTATTCATAAATTAATTTTTAATTATAATATTAAATAATTTCACGGCAAAATTTAAAAATTTTATTGTACATATATATATATATATATATATATATATATATATATATATATATATATTGCATCTATACCATAAGTTACAAAATAAATACCAAAGAGCATCTCTCTAAAATAATTTAATAATTCTTTTTTTGTATTTTTTTTTTCTTAATATTAAAATATAAATTCATTTTTTCAATTCATTTACAAAAATATATGTATTTAAATATGTAGATAATAATCAATCTAAATATATATATATATATATATATATATATATATATATATACTTAAAATGTCTACGTAGCTAAACTTATTCATAATTATTTTATATTCTATATATATGAGTTTACAATTTAGAATAGGATATAAGAAAATTATACATATATAATAAGTATACATATATATATACTTTAGTAGTACATTTTCCTTTATTACTATAAAAAATATTTCAGTGGTTTTTAATCTTAAATATAGAAAATTATAATATTTTTGTAATAATAATAATGAAAATAGAGAGTTATCGTCTCACCATCACTTCTCCCTTAATCCAACCAAAATGAGAGAAAAAATAATAAAACATAGAAACAGTAATAACACGCATAGAAAATATCTCTTTCTCTATACCTTGATATCCGGGTTCAAAACGAACTTTGACATTTTTATAGAACAGAATAAAATATTTTTTTTTTTGTTTTTTCTTTCCTTTGAATTAAAAACAATTTGACTTTGATAAATTTTCTATTTGTGTTCTCTTGTTGTTTCTTAATTTATTTTTTATTTTTATTTTCTTGATTATTAGAATATTTTTTTTTTAATATCTTTTGCGATTATTTATAATAAAGTTCTGTATTTTTGTTTTCTCACTCTGTTTATTATTATTATTCGAATTTAAAAAGAAGTTTGGAGAGGAAAAATTTTTTCCCATATAATTGTAAATTAAATAAACAAAATTATGATTATTAAAATTAAAAATAAAAAAAGTTTCCATCATACATAAATATATATATATATATATATATATATGTGTGTATATATATCACAATAAAATTCAGAGTATTAAAAATTTCAAATTATTCTATAATTTTGTTTTTTTTTTTTTTAATATTTCTTTTTTTACGAGTTTGTACTTAATTAAATTCAATATTAAAATTTTATTAACAATTTTATTAGCAAACAAAAAAAAATCTATGTATACATTCTATATATACAATATAAAATTCAAAAATACAAGATTTTCCAATAATTTAGAATTTCCTAAAAAAAATAAATTATTAATAAGCAAAATTCGCTTACATGAATTACTGAAATTTTGAATTTACCTTAATTAAAATTTTATTTTAAAAATTAATTTGTTTGCATTACGAAATCTAAATTTATCTCTTTTTTTTTTGGGGTTAAATTTTTCAAAAATATTTTAAATATTTTTTTATATTATACATTTTATTTAAATAAACCTAGATTTTCTGTTATCTTGAATATTTTTTTTCTTTTTAAACCTTCTTTTTACTTTCCAAACTTATTCAATCGTCGATTTCAATCAACCGTCGCCATTATTAATAAAATTTTCTTTGATTGCAACTGCATTGCGACGGCTAAAGTGGGAAATATTTCGGAATGCTGGACCGTCTATTAGTAATTAAAATTCATAATTAATATTCATTCAGCAATATAATTAAGTATTTTAAATAAAAAATTAAAATAAAAAAAACTCCATTATATTAAGAAATTTGTCATAACAAACGAAATCAATTTTTCAAAATTTATTTCAAACTTTCAAGTTTAATTAAATGAAATTCCAATTAAAAACTTGTAAATTCCAAAATAATTGCAATTGTTTAAAGATGTGTGCTATAGCGAACTTAATTTAAAAATAAGATTATTTTTTTATATGACAATTTTTTTTCTTTTCAAGCAAGAATATAATTTTCTCTACTCATAAATATTAAATTTCTCCATAAATTTTACCTAGAAATATGCAAAATTTTCAATTTATAAAATTTTATTTTATGTACAAGGATTTTTTAAAACAATATCACTATTATATACATATAGGTACACACATATTTTAAATTCATTAAAATTATATCTATAATTCCCAACCAATATTGTAGAGTTTATAAATTATTACTTAAATTTTATAACACAAATACATTATAAAATTAATTTCTCATATAATTTTTGCAATTATATATCATATATGTATATATGTATATATGTTCGTAGTTTAATTAACCTTTTCAACTTCCGATATATAAAAAGAAAGCCATTTACAATAACTTTTGTATAAAAATAGCTAAAGAAACCTAAAAATTGTGCATCAATGCAAAAGCACTCAAAAAAAAAAAATAATGTACATATGATTACATACAAAAAAAATGTACTACATAAATATTGGGTATACAATATGTATATGAAAACATTTACATATATAAATAAGTATTTGAAAAAAATAATAGCAAAAAAAAAAATGAAAATTACAATAAAAAAAAAATACTAAAAACTAGGGCATAAAACTTTCTTTATCATATGGCCTAAAAAAAATATTTTATACACACATATATACACACATATAAAAAATATATATAAAATATTTTTCTTTTTTAGCTTAAAATCAAATTTACTATAAAATAGTAGGACAGGCCGGGTATAAATTCTCCTTATTACACATATATACATATGCATATGTATATATGAATTACAAGACTTATATATACAAACATACATACATATAGTATAATTTTTTGAGTCACCGTTGATAAATAAAACAAATTTAATACCTAATCTAATATAGGCAATATTGTATAATAACAAAAACAAAAATACATAACGAATATAATATACATAAATATACATATATATAAATATATATATATGTACACATAATAATATACATATAAATTGTATGTGTACTATTGAAGTGTTACTTTAGGTAAAAGAAAGACCTGTTGAAATTTAGGTCAATAATTATAAAAGCATTACATAAATTCTCTACTTATATGCTTATATGTATATTATATTATATACCATATTTAAGTATATAATATTTTATGAACAATATTCTTAAAATGGAAAAAAAAAATTTTTCCATATTTAAAATTTCATACTTTTATATCCATTTAAAATATTTATAAAAAATTCCAACTAAATCAATACAAGTTATCAATTATATTGCAAAAAATTCTTAAATTCGTTGCAATTTTAAAAGAAAATCGATTTTATATGCTATATATACATAGCACATAACTACATAAATTGCACATAACTGCCCTAGTTTTATTTCATGTAAAAATATGGTCGTTTTTACATAAAATAACTCAAACACATAATAATAATTTTATTAAAATATTTATACGAGCATTCAATTTTTAAAATCGTAACTCATAAATACATATGCATATAAGTCTAGGTAAATATGGGTAAATAATATATTACATAATATATGAATGTTAAAATTTCAATTTTGTATTCCGTTAGAACAAAAAAAAAAAAAACGAAAACGCCATCTAGAGGTACACATACACGTTAACTTTAAATTTTCATGAAAAGTTTTTCACCATCTAAGATGCTTTTTTTCACATTTCCTTGATAATTGCAACAAAAATTAGGTCACCTAAATTCACTGATTTGAATTTTGTTGGAAAAATAATATAAAATTCAAAAAAACATCTTTAAACTTTTAAAAAATATATCTATATATGTATGTATCAATATACATACATATGTATACGTAATGTATATGTAATTTAAATCACCTGTATTATATGCTTGTAATTGTAGATTATTATTTTTATTATCTATATATGTGTATATATACATAAATACAAATATAAATTATGCAATAAAATTATTACAAAAACAAAAAAATTTTTTTTTTTCAATATTATTTTATTTAGGTCAGACAAGAAAATCACCAGGATTTCATAAAATATCCTTGCAAATAACGAAAAAAAAAAACAGAAACCAATTAAATTTAAAGTACCTATATATTATTGCATCCAGTTACAAAAATGAAGTCATTGTTATCGGTTGTATTACTTTTGTCTATAAATCCAGGGCAACCATTATCTTATCCAACATATGGAACAAAAAGATATCATCGAACTTCAGCTTCATCTTCTTATATACCACCAAATCATTCGTATCAATTAAATTCATATTACGATAACCAACCAATTCTAACATCATCATCATCATCAACATCAACATCAGGTTCGTCAACAGGTTCAAATCAATTATCTTCATATGGTTCTCTACCATATTCATTACAAAATTATCCTAATACAAATTTAAATAATAACAATAATAACGGTTATATTCCTGAAACAAATAATAATTATTATTATTATCCTCATCATGAATATCGTACGTATGGTATGCCAACATATCATGGTGAATATAAACCAAAACCATATTATTATGCACCAGCACCAAGATATAGTTATTTTGATGATCATGAAATAACATCAAATCCATTTGATGATTTACATGAAGAAATGTTACACGAAGATGAACGTATTCAACATAGACAAATATTACAAGATCAACCAGCATATTTTGGTAAAGAAAATTGGTATCAAACTGGTCCAAGTCGACAAGATGAATTAACAAATAATTTTTTAAGAAATTTAATTGCATATAATAGGCAACTTGAACAACAAGAACGTGAAAGACAATTAGCTGAACAAGCAATTGATGATGAATATATGCAAAGAGATCAATATGCTGTATATAATAATGAACCAGAACCAGAATATGATGATTATTCAGAAATTGGTGATTATGAATATGAAAATTCACAACCAATTGAACCAAAAAATGTATTAGAAAGAAAAAAATTTGAGACAATACAAGCAAATCAACAAGAAAAATTTTTACAAGAACAAAAACAACGTCAACAATATCAAAATAAATTGAATGAAGTAGATGATGAAGATGTTAGACAACTTAAAAATCTTGCTAAATATTCAAAACAAAATACAAATGATAATTCTCATTTAATTTTAAAACAAGAAGATGATAAAATATCAAAACCGATAATAACACCTACATATAATTTTGATAAAACAACATCACAAAAAGATCAAAAATCATTGAAACCAGAAAATTCAGCTAATTCTGTATTAAAATCAAATACAAATTATGATTATAAATCACAACAAAATAAATATATTGAACCTGTTGAACCAGAACAAATTGAAGATTCTGATGAATGGTATACACCACAACAATCATCGAATTCAAATTCAGAAAAATCTTCATATTCATCTGTACCACAATATGATGAACCTGAAGAATATTATGAAGAAGATGATGGTGCATGGATTAGTTGGGATCGTAAACGAAGTAATGATCGTGCTAAAATCAATTTTGAATCAATACCAAAAAAAATTGATTTAATAAAAGCATTTAATGATCGTAAACCACAAAATATTAAATTTTTAAATGCAAAAACATCATCAGAATTGGGAGAATCACAAAAAATTTCAACAACAACAACAATTTCTTCAATAAGGAATTCATTAATTAAAAATAAATTAACGACAACACCATCACCATTTTTAAATAAAAAATCAACAACAATATCATCTAATATTGTTACATCTACAGTATTACCAGTAGTTATTAATAAAATGATAGGACAAAAAGAAGTTGTATTACCAAGACCAGCTAGTATTTCACAACATATCTTTTCGGCACCAATTTTAAATTTAATAACAAATAAAGATTCACAACAGAATGCAGCAGCAGCAGCACCATCATCAGATTCATCACATAAATTACAAAATAAACTTAATAGAAATTCTGATGCCATCTACAAAACAATAAAACAATTAATGCAAATGGAAAATAATTTAGATCAGGTATAATAATTTAATTTTAAATATTAATTTCTTTATTTAAATTTAAATTTAAAATTTTCATATACTAATATTATTTATTTCATTTTTTCTTCACAGGACTCTAAAAAACATAAACGATTTGTTACAAATGAAGAAAATTTAGTTAATGAATTAGATAAATTAAAACGGCAAACAAAATCATAAATAAAATATATATAGGTTAGCTTATAACAAATTCTTTATTAAATATATTTTTTAAGAAAAAACTAAAAAAAAAAACAAAAAAAATTAAAAATAAACAAATATTATTATCAACAACCTAATTAACACCATATTAAAACATAATCTTTGTAAAAAAAAATTCATGTAAAAATAAAAATATATGAAATGAATTATAAAATACGGTAAATATTATAATTATAATTATTTATAAATTCCATATGTCACATGTTTCTGTCACAATTTTACAGAAATTTCAAAAAAAAATTACTAGCATTTCAATAATGTATAAGTACTTTATTCGATTGTTTTGTCATAAAATAAAATCCTCAACTAAAAATATCATTTCTAATACAATCTAAATTAATTTTAATTTAAAACATGGCTGAAAATAAAAACTATTCATTATTTTTGAATAATTAATTTGTAACTATTACATAACATATAAAATATTAAAATTTAAATGAAACCCACCAATCAATTATTTGTTTGCATTTTATAAATATTAAAATTATAACACCTAAATCAAATATTAAAATTAAATTGCAGTCATAAATTCTACATATACTTATACAAAGAAAGTATAATGGAGGAAGCCAATGTAGCCTGCTCACAAAACCTGCTCATTAACCATTATGTAAATATATTCATTTCATATATATTTATTTAATATATAAATACATACATATACAATAATTTGTAAAAACATTGGAAAGCCAGCTTATAACATTTATTATGTGGACTATACTATTGATCGCCATATTAGGCATAATAAATTTTAGCCGTTTAAAAATTTGCAGAGTAGATTGACTGCAATTTCCAAAAAGAAAAATCTAAAATAAAGCATTAATGTTTATTCTTACAACAAAATACATATTATATAACAAAAATTCATAGCACAGTTACAAAACTTAAAGATTAAAAAATTTAAAAAAAAAAAAAAAAACAATAAGGCCTATTTACATAATATAACGAAAAGTCGCAAGCCTATACTATGTATGTATAAATAAATTCTCTTTTTTTTTGATTTTTCATACTTTTTAAATTTTAAACAATTTAAAAAAACAACAATAATTTAAATTAAAGGGATTGATGAACTTATTTTGCCTCTTTTATAACAATAATAAAAATTTTCAAATCTTTTAGAAATATTTCAGCATTATGTTTAAAAGTACATAATAAAAAACTATAATATATAACTATGCATGAGTGTTTTTGATAATGCAATATACTTTCGCATTTCTAACTTAGAACTAAAATAACTTTGACAACTGAAAGACTCAGTTGAAAATAATCTACAAACTTGACATTAGTAAAAAAAAAAGTTTTTTTAGTTGTGAAAGTTCTAAAATTGTCATTTATATTTTTTGAAGTTTTAAAAGTGAAACCACAAAATTATATATGTATATTTTATTGTTTTCCAGTTCACTGAAATTTAAATTTAAATTTCTTATTAAAGTAATGAAAAATTTAAAAAAAAAAGACTTACTCTAATAAATCCTATAAATCCAACCTTTTCATTTGTTAATTCCAAAATAGTTTTCGCAGCAGTAAAATCAAAACGGAATTGTCGAACGTATTTTTTAAAAGTCTTAACATGCAGTTGTAATTATAAAATAACAAACTGCAAAAATAGTACTATATTATGAAACACATTTTTTTGACAGCACGAGCAGTACTTTATTTTATGAACATACTGCATAGTACTAAATTAAAATTGAATTATCAAAAACACAGCATATTTTATTTGAAATAAGTAAAAAACACTTAATTTTATAATGAAATTGAAAATCCCTAAAATACAACTAAATCATATTTAATATTCTGTAATATTCTAATACATATATAAAATAAATATTTATGAAAATTAAATATTTATTACACAACTAAATTTTAATTTAAAAAATTCTTGAAGGCCATAATAAAAATAATTAATTTTCAAAAATATATTATAATATCTATTATATATAATATGAAATAATCATATAATGTAAATTATTTTGAAAAAAAAAAACAAAAATTTTGTAAAATAATAAGAAAAAAAAAACAATTTTTAAATATACAATTAATATCTACATTATATACTGAAAATTAATTTACATAATGTAAAATAAATACATATATTAATTAAAGAATTAAAAAAAAATTCAAAAATTAAATTGATCAACATAATCGTATATTAATATTATATACATCATACATACATACATAAGTTAATCTTGGTATTAATATACATACAAAAATAAAAAGAATAAAGCGCTAATGAATAAATGATGTTACTTGCTTATATTTCAATGCTATACTATGCAAAAAAAAACAACTAAACTACAAGTTCTTATTAAATCTAATACACAAACCGAAAACTTATATATGCGATCTATTTTGATATCACAGTACTCTTGATATAAAAAAACAACGATTATTTGTCGCTTTAAAAATTTATAAAGAGAAATGAAATTTTGAAAAAGCAAATATTATTTTTTCATATATATAAATTTTAAAAGGACAAACAGTCGATTTTTATTCGAAATTACTAATTAACAAACCTTATATTGTTATTATACTGAAGGTTATAATGACTCATTGCATAATGAACGATATAATACCCTAACCGTATATATTATGTTTTCGATGAATGTGTATATTAGAAATTACGAAATAAATAAATTGGTCTACTGTATGATTTAAAACAAAGAATTAACCGTACTTGAAAGAATTAACCGTATTTACCGAATATACAGAAACACAAATTATTTTAAAAAATCATTAAAAAATTTTATTAAATTATGTGAAAATAAATAAAATGATAATTTAATAATTAAACAAAGAAAAAAATAATTGATATATATATATATATATATATATATATATATATATATATATAGAGACTGATATTTAATCTTATTTTCTTAATAGTTTTTGTTTTTTTTTTTGATTTTGTAAAAAGAAAAACATCTATTTATATAGATTTATGTAAATTATTTGTAAATATATACAAATTATAAAATAATTAAATATTATATAATATAAATAATATATATATATAAAAAATTTATATTTCTGTCTTATTTTTTTTTTTAAATTAAATTAAATTGAAATTTTAACAAATATATTATATAATTATATATATATATATATATAATGCAATGTACATTTAATAAATTATATAAGTACAAATGATTTATAATAAAGTACAGTGTATAATACCTATAAATTTGCTTATTTAATGATATATATCATTTTATTCCATAATTTATTCAATATATATTCTTCAATAAAATTTTTAAACAAAAAATAATTGTGTTTTTAAGATCATTTAATTCTGAAATCTTATTGTATAACAATAAAATAATTTTAACCCTTAAACGGCGGCCATTCATTATTTTAATTCTTAAATAAAAATTTTATTTTTGATTCTTTGAATCTTATACTTTTGTTATTTAAGTTTGAAAATTAAAGATTTTGGAAATTTTATTAATTCTTCGATTTGTAATTTTAGTTTTTAAAAAACAATTTCAAAATATTTTTAATAATTTATTTTTTTTTAAACTCTTCTTATTATATCTTGTTTAATTAAAAATCTTTAATGTTAAAAATAAACTATAAAAATTTTTTAATTTTTCTTACTTATAATTTATTAAAATTACAACTGTTAGTTTATAATCGATTAATTTTCAATGATTTTAATATAACAAATATTTTCAAAACTCACTCATGCAATAACATTAATAGATGGAACTTAATTAAAATTATTTTACAATTACAAATATTGCCCGTTTAAAGTTTTCCATATTTCCAGATTACTTAAAATTTTAATTTAATATGTGACACAATTAAATATGTTTATATGAATGTATTATACGAAATATGTTTGACACAATTAAATAACCTTTTCCTTTGCCATTAGATTATAATTATAATTTATTTTGCAAAAATAAATCAAATATTATGGTTTTTTCTTAAATATTCACTAAATAAATACAATTTTAATTTAATTGTCTCAAATTTTTGAATAAAATTTTATTGATATTTTGATAAATTTTCCAGCATCATACAACAAATCTATTCACAATAATTATGTAATATCCCGAATGTCAAAATATTCCCCCTATTTTCTTTTGTCATTTATTATTACTATATTTATAGTAATAGTAATAATTTAATATTTCTTATAATTCTGAAAATATATAATTGAAAATTATTTATGAGATTTCTATATTTTTTAGTTTGAGAACCTTCACATGCTACCCAATAATCATGTCATACAATATTGATGTTCAACGTATATTCTTAAGAATATTCAACTCATATTGTTAATAATACAAGTAATATAAAATATAATTTTTAATAATTACAATTATAATTATTTTAAATATTTAAATAATTTCAATTAAAAAAAAATTTTTTTTTCAAAATTTAAAAAAATAACAAAAATCATATTATACACAGAAAATATAAATTAAAATTATTTTATATTATATACATATTAACAAATATAATTATGAATTTTAAAAATAAACATAAATGTATGAAAATAAAAAAATATATTTTTTTAAATAGTAAAACAAAATTAAAAAACAAAAGAAAATTTATAAGAAATCTTGTTCAATTAATGAAATAATCACTGAAAAAAAAACTGTTTTAAAATTATATAATAATACAAAAATAACTTTCAGTATTTACTAACATTAAGTTTTTTTTTTGTAAAAATATATCAAATGAAGAAATCTTTTTTTTTTTCTGTTAATGCAATTTAATTTTATTTTAATAATTTTAAGATAATAGTCTATATTGTCCATCTTAATATAAAAACAGAAATATATTATGTGTAAATGCAAAAAAACAAAATTTTTTAAAATCTACTTTAAACTGTAATTACCAAAAAAAAAATATTTTTTATTAATAATAAAAAGAAAACAAAAAAAAAGCTTCTTAGTCTGTAACTACTTTATGATAATGAGTACAAAGACTTTATTACTTAGATTAAAAATGAAAAATATATAAAACAAATTATAAATTTAATGGCCACAATTAAAACTAATAAATAAAAACTTAATTCTTACTTTATAAAAATAAAAAAATGAGCTTAAACTAAAAACTTCTTATTATAGTAAAAAAAAAATAAAAAAAAAATTAAATTTTTGAAAAAATCATTTGAATTTTTTAAAAATATTTAATTTTCAACTTATTTACAAAATACAAGCTTTCCATTTTCAAAATTATTGCAATTAAACTATTGTAAATTTAGTTTCGCTTAAAAATTTTTATTTAATTTTTATATATAATTATACATTTATATATATATATATATATATTATAGATTTAATTATGAAAATGATTTTATAAATTTTTTATTTGAAAAAATTTTTAAATTTATAATAAAAAGAAATTTTTTATAATATATTTTTAACTTTTTACACAACATTTTAACAAAATATTGTGCCTTGGTGGTGC